GAACTCACTTGGTAGCCCAGGCTGGCCTCGAACTCACAGAGATCCGCCTGCCTCTGCCTCCCAAGTGCTGGGATTAAAGGCGTGCGCCACCACTGCCAGGCTGGCGAGGAGGGTTTGTATGAGCGAGAATTGTTGAGACCAAGATTGGAAAAAGCACAGGGACAAATAGCCAAACTAATGGAAACACATGAACTATGAACAAATAGCTGAGAAGCCCCCAACTGGATCAGGCCCTCTGGATAAGTGAGACAGTTGATTAGCTTGAAGTGTTGGGAGGCACCCAGGCAGTGCCAGTGGGACTGGGACCTGTCCTTAGTGCATGGGCTGGCTGTTTGGAACATGGGGCCTATGCAGGGATACTTTGCTCAGCCTGGGAGGAGGGGACTGGACCTGCTCGGACTGAATCTACCAGGTTGAGCTGAATTCCCAGGGGAGTCTTTGCCCAGGAGGAGATGGGAATGGGGGGTAGGCTGGGAGGAAGGTGGGGGAGGGGGAAGACAGGGGAATCCGTGGCTGATATGTAAAATTAAATTAAATTATAAAATAAAAAAAGAAAAAACTTGCTCTGAGCAAGTGCATTGTTTTATTTTTCTTTATTGTGTATCTACCATGTGCTTGGTACTGTCCTACCATTCTTGGTGCTAAATATGCAGAAATAAATGAGCTATGATAGTATATTACAAGTAGTCATGGCTTATTAAGGGAGATTATATAAATATGTTATATATATATCTCATAATATATGTAAATAACTATTTTGCAAGTAATTAAAATATACATACAGAGTTATCTGTGTTGGAATGCCATCTCTTCCTGTTCTGTTTGTCTGTTTGTTTGTTTTTGGTCTCACTATGTGAATTTGTCTGGCCTAGACCTGACTATATAGACCAGTAGAGCCTTAAACTCACAGAGATCCACCTGCCTCTGTCTCCTGAGTGCTGAATTAAAGGCTTGTGTTAGCATTCTGAACCCGCCCTTGGGACCTGCCCCGCCTCCTGATGTCATCTTATGTGATGTGTGATGTCCCTTTTAAGAAAAAATCTCTTCCCCCTTCACTCTCTCCCTCTCCCTCCTCTTGGCAGAGTTAGCACACACCTCTCTGTCTCTCTGTCTGTCTCTGTCTCTCTTTTCTCCTTCCCTCCATTCCCTCTACCCTCCCCACAATATAAACTTGCCATGTGGATGTCCCAGCTGCAGTGTAACTTTCCACTGCCTGCTGCACCTGCAATGGCGTGTTTCACCCGCCCTAGGGCACCTTGGTCCAAACCTGTGAAGTCCTTCATGTGTCGTATCATTACAGCTTGGGCTACTCTGCCCTGATTGAAAATGAAGAAAGTTTTATAAACAATTGTAGCTATAAACTAATTACTGCCAAAAAAAGAGATCTGGATTAGGCTGAGAACCCTGTAATCGTTTCATCAGTGATAATAGTTTATCTTCATTGACCACTCCAATACATTAACCAATAATCCCACATTGTATAACTTAATCTTCATAGATGTTTTATGGAATAGTATTATTCTTAGCTTCTATGCAGGAAAACCCTACATAGTCAGTGAAAAAGAAACTAGTTTAGCTATACCACATTTACATAATCTGTAAATGGCTGGGCTGGGATTTAAAAAAAAAACTTAAAAGAAAGAGGATGTTTCCACATCCCATAGCATACATTGACATGATTTCACTCAATATCATGACATAGTTCAGAACCACACCGTTAACACTGATGGCGACATCATTGAATCAATTGCCTATCTTATAAAGAAAAAAATTAAAATAGGATGTTGACTGGCAGTTCTTTTGCTCAAGGCAGCCAGGGCAGCATGCCAGAGTCTAACAATTTCAAACTCTCTTCTGTACCACCCACTCCACCTTGCATTTCTAGTTGGTACCTGAATTATTAGCCATGCTAATCAAACATCTCTTTTTAGAAAACGTTATGGTCTGCACTTTTAATATTGAGACAAACCTTTGAAAATTGAATTAAAAAGGACTTGATGAAGAGAGCCTGGGAATATTCTACCTCTTTAAGCCACCCAGCAGATTCACCTGACCTCTTGCTTTTCATTGTGAACTCCTCACCTCTGGCTGTAGTTGGTGGAGGTGATACTGGGATGAACAAATATCCCCCAAACAAATTATGGTTTTATCAGACAGGGGATTGTTTAGCTTATGGAAACAGGCCACAGCCTGCCACATGGGGAAACTGGTGTACATTTCAGCATTTTCTCACAGAACTGAAATGTAAGCTTATCTAAAAACGTGTCCTCCGCAGAAAGATAGGCTGCACATTTTAACTGTTAGCATTTGCTGTTATTGTGATGACAATGTACAGAACCAATTGTTTAAACAGATATGTCACGTTGGTATGTGTGCAAGGCTGTTCTGCTTTTTTTGTGCTTCATTTTTGTGTCTAAAAAGAAAGAATTTCAGGTAGCACTATAATATATTTGAATATTTCACTCCTACATCGATAGAGCCATTAAAAAAAAAACCTTTCATGACATAGAATACGTATATTGTGTGGCACAAATGACCCTAAAAAAATTTAAAGCTTGCTAAAGGAAAAAAAATGCCATGTTTGTCTCAGGCATAAATCATAGTGATACATATGTGGAACTGATTTTTGTCTCTTAATCCAGCTGAGAAAACAGCTAATGGAGACCTACCAAAATAGCAATCTGCCATGTCATCATTTTTCTCAGAAGCAATGTAGGGAGTGTAACAGTTCAAAGCTAAATTGTGTATGATGTACTTTGGCAATGCTCTTTATTCATTAGGGGGTAGCTAAGCATCTTAGCATTAGGACATGGCTATGAGATGAGAGTATGTGATTAGAAGACTATGAACTAAT